TTCATTGTACCTCATCTCCCCTCCTCCCATTTAGTTTCCAAAACAAGCATCTATTAATATGAGCTGAGGTGATTTCATCCATGTCATTCCTTTTACTAGTCATACTTTGAAACTTTATAAAAACCTTCAGTATCTGTGAACATTTAAGTATAAAATTATTTCTGTGTATAGAGGGAACAACATGGAAGAAACATGATTTACTTATTTAGGAAAAATGTTTGGCAGTTGTGGGCTCCACGTCAGATTAAACTTTTGCATTGGTGAGTAAGAAGCCTGGAAAATTTATACAATTTGAAGTCTGGCTAGTGAGCAGGTTGTGGTGGATTAGAGTGGAGGGATTCACTTTAGAAAGGTGACGGTCAGCATTGGATCAGAGTTGTTATCTTTTGGAGTTTGTAGGTGTTCATTCAGAGCAAACCATTGGACAGATTGTTTTAGATATGTGATAACTGCAGAGCAGCTTGAGGAACTGGTGATAGACCACAAACAACACAAGAGCGAGGTAGCACAGCCCATAGGGTTTATGACATTGCTGTAAATATTCAGAGCTGCTCTTACCAAAAATAGCAGAATGCTGCTGTTCCTAGAAAAGTCAGGAAGAATAACTTTTGTTCTGAGAAATACTGATTTGAGAGGGCACTAGGAATTATTTAAAGATTATTAATTTATTGAGCTGTAAGAAAGTCTGAACCAAGAAAGAGCAAGGAGAGGATTTCAGCCTCCAGCCTCTCCTCCTTTCATAAGAATTTGGTATCTGTCTCTGATCCACATTTGAGAAACAGGAGGTTTTTAGCTACTTCTGAACAAGTATGTAGACCTGAATTATCAAAGCAAATATGCAGTAACTTGATTCCCAGTGCAGCTGATCCTTAAATGACTGGTCTGTGTGCCACATAAAAGAAGTCATTTATGACACAAAAAGCTTGTTTGACTTTGACCTCTGTTCTGAGTGAAAGATCCTTTTTTTTATCAGTCTAGTAAATCATACCTGATTAGAGTGGAACTTTCTAAAGTAACTTAATTTACTTCTTCAACAGGGAGCATTCATTAAAAGGGGGCAGGGGGGAAGTGTTTTCTTTTTCTAATACTCTTGGCCACATCATCCATGGCATCAGTTGCACCTGTATGGAAGGCAAGGAGTTTTTGTAAGCCAGAATTTTGGAAGCATGTGAAGTAGTCTGTGGGAAAGGAAGAGGAGGTAGTTGCTTAAGATAAATTTCTGGAGTCCATCTTCCGCTACTACATCTCCTGCTGAGATCTGCTGAGAGCTTGTGCACAGCCAGAAGTTACTCTGCAAGGTGTTGAGCTGCTCAGCATAGTGTGTTCTCAAAATCAATCAGAAAATGGGGAGCTGTGTCTGTAGAAAATGAACTTTGTCCGTATCTTGCACATTCTCACACTGATGGGAAGTATGGAGCCCTATGTGGAGGTACAATGGCACAGAAGCCATGCTCTGTGACTGGCTTTCCAAACCCACCAGATTTGAAAGATGCCTGTATTGCCTGTTAATTTATGACTGAACAAATACTGACTATGGCTCTTAAAAAATACGAACTTTCACTGACCATAGTGTACGTTTGTCTGGCAAGGAGTCTTTAATCTGTTTGGGTAAAGCACAAGGGTTCTGGAAAAATATGACTAACTCCAGCATCAGACTCTCTCTTCTCCAAAAAGCTTGTTGACTGTTTATTTGACGGTAAATGAGAACCTGACAGAATTACAAAAAAATTACAAAATAAAAAAAGGACATCTAATCTCAGCTAAAAAATTTCTGAAAGGTGATACCATCTTTTATGTGATTGAAAACACGGTGATAACCTTGTGTCAGCAATGCTTTTGGTAATGGGCTTGAACTGATTTTTAACTGGCTGCTTTGTCTCAGATCTTTCAGGACCGCAGACTCTTGCTTCCCAAATCAAATATCCCAATATGAACAATATGGATTATTGACATTAAAAGCACTGTGCCATCAAAATAAAGTTAAAGATTCTCAGACAAATTCTGATGCTGTTTACTTGTAATCTCTAAGCGAGGCGTATTTTTTGAGTATATTGCCTGTAGCAGTAGCTTTATTTCAGCTGAAATTCAAACAAAAGAATACGAAACACATTTATCTTTCAACCCCCTAGAAATGTACCATTGTTGTAAACACAACTGTAATATAAAATTCTGGTTTAACTCAGTTGTAGTGGTCCCACTGAAAGCAGAAAAACATTTGAAATTTATGTCATGAAACTATGAGAGATTCTAGAGAAAGCAGCAATGTCAGCTCCAAGTACAAATGCATTTTTTAAAAAAAGATAGACACCACAGGGAGAAAAGCAGTCTTGAGGCAATCCTGGAAATGTCATGACTTACGATAATTCTGTCCCAGGCATCGCAAAAATTTTAGGCAACTCTCAAAATTCTGAATTATTTACTTGTGGGAAATTGCTTTTTTCAGATTATAATTATCACTGTTTCTGAAGGGACAGAGTATATAAAACTCAGTCACGCTCTTATCATACAGAGGAGAAAATGATCTTCATTCTGCTCAGACATTTTTACAGGGTTACTGCAGAGAATACTCTCTCTTTTTAATACAGAAAGCCTGAAAATTCACTGTCCTTCTGTAGCTTGCTTTTCGGATAAGTTGAAAGAAGAGCATTTCCTGTCAAATAATTTCCTGCAGTGGTTTCTGAAGCTTGTTCAGTAAGGAATTGTTATTTGCTCTGATAAGACTGTAAGAGATTTTATAAATGAATGGTTTATATGTTAGGATCAAAACCCTGTTCTGTCCAGCCAAACTGTAAACCCTTGAGTACCCATAAGTCATCATTTGACTAGTCCTGAGCTGCTTTAATCCAAGAACTTTTCATAGTTTCGTATTTGGAAAGGTTAATAAAGCCCCAAATAAAATCTTAATCTGAATTGAAAATGGATTAGAAGGATTCATCCTCTCCCCACACTGTTTCCACCACTGTGCTTTCTTTCTTTATCCAGCTGTTACTTAAAGTGCTTCGTTAGAATTCAGAATTGTCTCTGCTAAGTTTAGATGAATAAATTAGACTTCATTACACATATTTTACTATGAATTGAACAGACATTAAAAAAAAGCCAAATACTCTAATGACTTATTTACATTTTCTAAGTAAATTGTGATGGTATTCTGTGTATCAGTTTTCTGTACAGCTTTTGAACAAAGATGATGCTACAGAGCAGAAAAAAAGGAAATGGTACATTACAGGCAATTTGTACCGTTCATTTTATTCATTAACAGGATACTTTGATCAAATTTCTTTACTGTTCTGGTGTGTATCCAAAGAGAAGGAACGTTTCAAGCCTTATTTGACAGTAATTATACATATTCCAGAATTGGCATGTTTTGTAGAAACCATTAAGCAGTTAGTCTTTGTATTTGTGAAAGATGTACTCTACAGTATGAGGGGTTAAATCTATGTGTCTCATTTTATTGAGAGGCAAGGCCTGGTCATGAGCTGAGCAGCACAAACATGTTTGACCCTAGCTTTATGTTGTCTGTATTCTCCATAGCATCATGGGAAAAGTGAGAACTCACTCGTTTGCCTGTCTGTATTGGGAATTCGATGATAATGGGGCTTGAGGTTACGATCTTTCGCAACTTTAAGCACAGTGAAGCCTTTGGCTCACTTGTAGGCAGGCCTACCTGTACACATTTATATATGGTCTGTATGAGGTTAACAAGAAACCACAGAAACTATACTCATACTCTGATGCAATGATTGGCCAGAAGAGTCTTATCTGCACACAGTAAAATGATGACTGTAGTCCTCATGGGGAAAGCGAGGGTAGGAAGAAACGGCAGGAGCAACAAGCCAAGCCTATTCAGACCCCTTCAGCTGAATCATTCAGAACAGAGCTAGCTGATGCTATGGCAGGGAAAAGTGCCGCCTTTGATCTCATCGCAGCTCTGTCAGTCAAAGTGTAAAAATCATCTCTTCTTCAGTTTTTGTGAGAAAAAGAAATTATTTTTTAAAAACAAAGAGTTTGGAAGAGGAATGTAGAAAAAATGCTATAATTATTTTGATGAAATGAATGCAGCTTTTTTTTGAGTCATACGTTTTTAGTGCAAATAGTTTGGAAGCTGTCAAGAGTGTCCTGAAAATGTAAAATGTTGTTTCCTATCTGCAGTTGAACTGTTCTCCCAGCAAGGATTTTGTAAAATACTTGAATAGAAAATGGAAACAGTTCAAGGCAATTTGCTTTAAATGTTCAACCACCTTTGTTATTATTTTTACCACGTAATGCTTTACTTGTCTTATGTAGGTATGTTAAATTGAATTTCTTAGATTCTGCCTAAAAACCAAGTCTATGTAGGATACTTTGCAACATTTTGGTCTTTAAAAATCTGTGATGTAGTTTTGGTTCTCACTTTTGTGCTTTCTGTACTCTTTCAATGCAGGACATCAACTGTTTCAGTATTACAAAATAACTGATACAGGTCAGAATTGCTCTAAAGTACAAATGATATCAAAAGAATGAAAAAACCCACTCATGATCTCATTTTTATGATACAGTAACTGTATGTACAGCAATGAAAATACTGTTATGGAACTTTTAAATGTGGCATGCAGTTTGCCAAGAGTAGCTGAAGCTCCCTGCAGCAATGTGTCTGGTTTGTCAGATGAGAAAAGACCAACTTCATTTGTGTAAAATGAGAAATATTGCTGTTTGCCAGCCTTTTATTATTCAGAGCTGTGTCTTCATCCAAGTAAAAGTGGCTATGCGTGGCATATAGTCTCCAAAGGCTCAGGCTCTACAGATGTGTGCATAAATAAGGGGTACAAATGGCACAGTAGAATTACAGCAGCTGTGTTCATTTCTCACTTACATCAATTTGTGATCAGAACTGGCTGTGTTGAGGAAAATTTCAGTTCCATATGAGATCACATGAGCTGTATTGACAGCAAGGTCAATCTGTGCATCTCTTTAAGATTTTGCTTTGTATTCTACCTCTCAGGTTGGTACAAGAGGATGTGGGAATGGACATCCCCTTTGCTGAGAGTGTTCTAAGCCCCAGTTCTACAGAGATGAGACCTGGTGAGAGAAGCTCTTACTCCTTTTCTTAAATATATCTTATTCCCCTGGCATTTAATTATGCAGTGAGAATGATGTTTCTGTGCTTGTAAATAATCAGTTCAGTGATAAAAAGTGTTAAGTTTGCTCTATTTAGTCAATTTTCGTCTTCACTTGAGAAATCACAATTGTAGTGTACTATTTTCTCTTGTGCGTTGTTGTCATCACTCATTTTGTCCTTGGAAGTTTAAGTAGTCTCTATTACTTATCTTCTATTTGACTACTCTCTGAGTGAACTAAGTTAGCACTAGAATGCCTCAGTCAGAACAGCTTGAAATGTGCCACATAATGCAGTGGCAAGGGGCAAACCCATACCTAGCTTTTGATTTATTGAAGACTAATTTTATTTAAGGGTGCTTAAGAGACTGAGAGGTATTTTTATTTCTGTAACTGTGTTGAATTAGATACTGTATAGTTAAAACTAAAGACGTAGCTACTTGTAAATCAGCGCCATTCGAATAGCACCAAGTGCATAAGAAAATAAATATTTACAGGGGATTTTCACTTACACTAATTTTTCCAGGATTCAGCAATGTCTTAGTTCATATCTCAAATGATTTGTATATTGCTCTTTAAATTCTTAAACATTGTGAGTCAGAGCATGTCCAAGGCCTGATTTTCATCATTTGCAAAAAAAGGAATCTGGATTTTGCGTAATTTAAGAGCTGCCAGTTACATCTGCCATGTTCTATTTCTTTAAACATGAATGTTGACATTTGTGCTTTATGTTAGGTGTTCTTAAATAGCTTAGTGTTTCTAAAATTGATCTGTCCCAGTATGTTTGAAGGTGATTTTTAAGTGTCTGGGAGATGAATTGTATGCATAGGAGATAAAATTCTTTTTTTTTTTCCTGTTTTTTCAGAACCTCCCAATTCTCTTGATCTTAATGGTTCCCATCCCAGAAGGATAAAGCTCACTGCTCCAAATATCAATCTTTCTTTGGACCAGAGTGAAGGATCTGTACTTTCTGATGACAATTTGGATACACCGGATGAAATTGACATCAATGTAGATGACCTTGACACTCCTGACGAAGCAGACTCTTTTGAATACACTGGACAAGGTAATGTTCTAGACTGTAAATGCAGAGTTCATCTGTTTCTTTATTTGCTGCTTACATGATCAGTCTCATGTCTGTCAGTCTATGAATATGGTTAAAGCATTTGAAAGTTAATGCTAGGTGTCCAGATATTTTTGCTATCTGCTATTTTTTAACCTTTCTTTCCCTGTGTAAAATAATACATTTCTGCTTATGCAGAGTGCAGAAAGATATAGTACAGCTGATCAAATGAAATAAGAAGAGCTACCTAGAGAGAATAAAATTCCAAGTCCTGTCTTTGTCCAGTACATTAGGACTTGTCTGAAGAGAGTTGTTCAAGAAGGAGAAAGCAGTTGCTCTCTGTTGTAGACAATGCTATAGCTAACTGCACCTCTGTGCAGCCCTGGGCAGCTCTAGATTACAGCTAAATCAGTAGTACTTAGAGATATAACCTTGTGCAAAATGTGTTGGCTTACATAAGCTGCATCAAAGAGCTTGCAGTGTTTAAATGAAGTAGACAGTGTGATGAGAGAGGTCTTGTGTTAGTGAGAAAGGTCTTTTCATTTCCATGGGTGGTTGGAAAGCTGAGATGTGGAAGGTGTGTGTGCATGGCATGATAAAGCTAGCTCAGGAGATGGAACAACAGAATTCTTCATTCCACCAATTTGAATATGCTTTCTTAGCGGGGCTAGTTGTATAGGATAGATACACCCTGAAGTATGCAATGGATATTTCACTCTTCCTTCACATATTAATGATTTTCTCGCATGTGGTGTAAAAGTGTTTTACGCTGTCATACTCCCTTTACTTACCCTCGTGATGTACAAGATAAGGTGTTAACACTCATTCCTTGCTAGTACTTTAACCAACCATATGAGAACTGTACTCACTAATGTAAATACATATAGATCATAAGCTATTTGAGAGGAAAAGGAATGTGGTCATTTTGCAATCTACAATAGAAAGAAACTTTTATAATGTATCAATTTAAACTGGATGTTCCTTTGCATTTAAATTCTCTATTGCTAGTGATGTCACTATAATTTAAAAATTGTGTGCTCTTTTGAGCATACAAGAACGGTTGTATCAGTTTAAGTGATGTTGCCAAAGAAGCATTACTGTGTACTCAATCATGCATGAGCATCTCTAATGTCACTTCTCATTAGAAGGCTGATTTCCTTATGGGTAGATGCAGAGCATAGTGATGAGTTGCTTGATGGTTAGAATATTTTGTAGCAAAGGTTTAAACTAACAAACACACGTATAGATCTATGTGCTCACACCAGAGCAGCGTGTGCTTGCAGTTTTAGACTGTTGTGGCCACTGTGTGAGAGCAAAAATCTCTGCCTGTAGTAGAACAGATTTTGCTTTTAAGCCTTCAAGTAAATAAATTCGACTACAGTGATTTTGATGGCAGTTGTATTTATGGCAAGCGTTTTTCTCCAGCTTTTTTTGCTGCTTTCTAAATACGATAGTTTGTTCAGTTGCTAAAGTTGGACCAGTTTCCCTGAACTCCTAAGTGAAGAAGAATACAAGGTGCCTTTTTACAGTTATGTAGTTTGATTTTAGACATACTTAATTGGCAAAAAGTCCTTCACTTAGATGAGCCAGGAAGAGAGAGTAGAAAAGGAAAAAAATCACATTTTACCAAAATAAGCTGGTGATAAAATAAGTAATCTATATATTACATGACTCTTGATAGCTAAGAGTATAAGAACTAGTGCAGAATGGTTTATCCACATGGTAAATAGCCTTTGTTATCTTTGTACTTCTGTCACTCTACTGTGAACCAGTATGCACTCTGCTGTTACCAGCACTCGTAATCATCCACAGATCAGTGTTTCTAATTGATGACAAACCCAGGGAAGTAAATACTGAGAAGACATAGCTGTTGAGACTGTAGAGAACAGTGATTTTTAGCTTGTCACGCTCGGACTGTTGAAGGTCCATTTGAATTGTGGAAGGCAACTGAGAAAAGCAAGACCGTTGTCATGATTCAGGGGTCCACCTCATCACTGGAAAACTGATGGCTCTGTAATACAAGAAGTACTCAAGCCCGTTTGTTTAGAAGAATGATGAAGAATCATCACAACTGCAGTGTGCAAGAAAATAGATGACAGTGGAAATACTAAAGTACTTGTCTTAAACTAGCACCTGACTTGTTTAAGGATTGGTCGATCATCAGTTTTGTAGGGTTTTTTTAGTCACTAATACCTTAATTTAAACATTCTCTTTCAGAACCTGCTGTTATTTCTGAAATTACATTTTTATGATTATTACATTATTACATTAGATGGCATAAAAATTGCATTTCTGAAAAACATAAGTGCATATAGGCCTCCCCCCAAGTCAGTGTTATTTGGAAAGTAAAAGAATGTTTATTATTTGCAGATGTTTATTTCCTTTCTGAATTTTACACTGGTGCATCTTTCTCTGCAAAAGCAACACTCCAGGCAGTAAAGCATAACCACTTCATCAGGAAGAGGCAATCTAGTACTATTTATATCCAAAGATAATTCATTTGGCCAGTTCCAGCATTGTAAGTTTTATCAGGATCTCTTTTCATCACTTTTCATCACTTGCAGTTTCACCACCAAAAAAAAATTATCAACCCCCAAATACAATTTCGGCATTAGTCTGCCAGTTACCTAGCCCAGCCTCTTTTCATTAAAGCTATTCTGCCAGCTCCATTTCTCTCCTTCAGCCATGCTCTTTCTGCCCTCCCAGGAACCAGCTGACTAGACAGTTTTCCTAGGCTGTTCTGATAATCCCATGTGTCTATTCTGAAAGCACCTAAGCTGCATAATAGCCTCCTGTGGGGACCCTGTATCCTTAAAGTAATGGACCGCTGTGTGATGGTCTGTCAAAGTTTGCATAGCTTGACTGCGTGCATGTAGTTTTCATAATGTTTTCCATGGGACTTTTACAAAGTAAACATCATACAAAATTGCATTAAGGTATCTAGGTTTGGAGGGAGCAGACTTATGCATTTTGTAAGTATGTTCCCAATGTTCCAGAATACATGATATTTCAAAAGTAAATGCTAAGTATATTATTAAACATCATGAGCATTGTACCCTGAGAAGGCATAAATACATACTTCAGTTCCGCAATATACATTCTACAGAGCAGCAACTGTTAAACCAATTTGAAATACTGTAATTGAAAAAAGTCACCTTTTGCAGTCTGTTCTTCTTCGCAGCCTTAGATCTCCTCAAACTCCCTTTATTGACAGTTCCTAAGGAAAAAAGGCTTATGTGGTCACATTATATATGCACGTGTATGTATTTCTTGGTCTTCCATCCCTGTTTCCACCATTCATACAATTTTACTTGAATATGTTTTTAACTCATTGGGTGGTTAGACAGTGAGGAGGAGGTGAAATATCACTGCTTATCACTTATATCACTTCCAGCAGGCAGGAATTAAGTAAAGAAAAGAACTGGTGATAGACTTAGCTTTTGTTGCACATGGGAGAATCTACTTCAGGGAGGGGGACCTTCCACCAGTATTATTCCCTAATAATACTTTGCATTAGGGACAGAAAATACAAGACAGGTGACAGTAGAAATTCAGACTTCATTAGTCCTACTGTAACACAAATGTGTGCCCAACCTAATATATATTTTTTAAAAACATTCCAAACTTTTTTTTGTGTTTTGAGGAACTTGATACAAATTTGGTGGAATTATTGATAGGTTTTAATGCAGAAATCAGTTTTGCAAAATAATAGTCAGTACATGTATGTGTATGTGCCTGTAGGTTCTATGTGTGTAGCTATATGTGGTATATACACAGTGTACTATCTTATTTCTGATTTCGTAAAGATAATTGATTTAATTCTTATGACAAACTGATGTGTTTTAAGGATTGTATACTTCCATTTGTGTAAGTAGTTCAAGAAGCAGCAGCAAAGAGACATCTGAGTATAAACCAATACATAGAAAGGTTTGAGGATTTCTATAAAACATTGTGTTCGTTACTTCTTCTTGTCAATTAAAATAACTTCTTTCAGTTTATTCATAACTCTCTTAGATCTCTTTGGTATTTTCAAATAAGATGTCTGATCAGCTTTTTATGTATACACGTGTATGTCACTATGTGTCTCACTATATCTCTGTTTACTGTTACCTTGCTTACTGACTTACATGATCAAACTCGGCTCGCTCTTATGACTGCAGAGCCAGAATAATACTTTAAAAAGAACAGTTGATTTTATTTGTTTACTTCAAATACATGTAATGCATAAAATGTATGGAATCTTTACTATAAAGATAAATTAATAATATGTACACAGCCACAAAGCAAAGATGCTTCAGCAAGAAGAATAGTACAAAAGCAGGATTTTTTTTTTTCCCCACGCAGAAAAAACAGTATGTCGTAACAGTAACTAAAGAAGGAAATTACATAATTCCAGCTGTGGACAGAATCACTTTTCATGTCACTTTCTTTGTAACCAGCCATTAAGTTTGAAAAACTGGAATGCAGTTAAATTTGCTGTTAGGAGCCATCTCGTCTGTGTGCAATGGAAATGTAGATTTTGTTAATTACTTCACAGCTTTTCTGAAACTAAGATTATCCAGCAGAGAGGCTGTGCTACGAGACTTCATAGTCTCATGTCAGCCATGCAGTTTATTTATTGTGATCATTATGTCTGTGAACTACATGTACCTGTTCTCTCATGGGTGCTGGTATGAACAGACCAGATTGCCTGGCTGCTCTGTACTTCACATCTGGGAGGAAACTGGTATTTAACCTCAACTGAAAGGCCCTGGAGGAGGCGAATACTGTGCCTATATGAGGAGTCAGCATTATCTCATGACTGAAGAAGAGGAAGATGGACTTTCTTCATACTTGCTGGTGCCAGATGTGAGAAGCTCTAGCTCTGTGTTAACTCCTCTAGACAAGAAGCATCGCTGTGTTCACATTTAGTTCCCTGTTTTGCTTTTTGGTATAGTTCTCATACCTGCAACACAAAGATTTTTAAAGACCAACAATGCTGTACCTCTAGTGAGCAGCTGATCAGTTTTACTAACTGGATGCAAAAATCTTGTGGTGGTATTCTGCATAGTGATAATTGATGCTGTTCTTTTTATGTTCATAATGATGAAAGTTTAAAAAAAATGGAAACTTCTCATTTACTCACTATTAGATGATCAAATTCTGCTCTTATTTATACCAGTGCAGATCCAGGATAGTGTTGTAAAAATCCAATTGATTTCAGTCATCCATTTCAAATGTATGTAACAGAGAAAAAATTCAGAGCTTTCACAGGAAGATGTAAATATATACAATATTATTTTTCAGAAGAGCAGACTGCTACTAAGGATGCTTCCCAGGAGGAGTCTGAATCCATTCCAGAGTACACTGCAGAAGAGGAGCGAGAGGACAACAGGTTATGGAGAACGGTGGTTATTGGAGAACAGGAACAAAGAATTGATATGAAAGTTATTGAACCTTACAAAAAGGTCATTTCACATGGAGGTAGGAAAACCCTGAATGCATTTTTTAGATTGATGTGAAAAATTAGTGCTTTATTGAGCATGATTTATTTCTATTTTAGTTCAGTTATCATACTGGCAAGAGGAAAGAGAGTTTATTTTTCAGCCATGGCTGAAATCAACCCGACTTTCAATTCAGTGTGGCAATGACTAATGAGTACATTCAATACACAGCAATTTCACCGGCAACAAATAAACGGACATACATGTGTCAGTCTGGTCATTGTAGGCTAAAACTGTCTTAGCGCAATGAAAAAAAATTTTGTCCTACATTAAAAAAATTTTGAAGATTTTATTCTGTGGATTTTGGCAAAAACTTTTGCACAAGGAAGTAGAGCGCTTTGTGATTGGCTGAACGATGTATGTGAATGCACAGATCTAAACAAGTAGAGTGGCAAAAGAAAAAAAATACAGTTTTCCCTGGGGCTTCCATTCGTCTGGCTAAGGTCCTTATGTTATTTTTCTGCCATTTATAGTTGTCAGCAGATAGCATTTCACTAGCAGCTGGTTTATGTTTTTTTCATGCAATTTGTTAATGATTATCAAATAGGATATCAAAGAAAATGTTTACTGCAGGAAAATGACCTCATGTGGTTGCTATATTGTCTCCTTTGCTCATCTGCTCCCTAACCTCCTCAGAGAATTTGTGGCTCTGGTGTTACTAGCACACTTCTATATAAATTAATTCAAATGGATAAATATTTCTGTAGATATTAAAGGAAGAAAATGAAACAAAGCTTTCTAAGTGCCTTTTCCTTGGTGTCTCAGGTTTAGAACATCCTTGGATTCTATATGTTTGGAGGATACTGTTTGCCAGCTGTTAAATAAAATAGTAAGGATGGGTTGTTCTATTCCTGCAAATACTGGGGCAGGTAACTTAGTATCCCAGAGATAAGATTTGTGAGTTTATATGAGGATACTTCTGTCACAGTGTTGCTGATCCACATCATCCTTTAAAGGTAAACCATTGTTTCCAGTATATTTTCAGTGTTGAATCTCTATCTGGTAAAAGTGACATACATAAATTATGGTTAATTGTATTACCTAAGGATGTGGTCCTCAAATTTGCACATTTACATTAAAAGCAGCTAAATGCTGCAGATGTTCACAGTGGCCAGTGCGGAAGGTTTAGTCAGAATTAATAAAGACATTTAAACCTCCAAGCATTTTCCCACTGTAACAATACCATCAAAGATTTATGAATGTGATGACACCTCAGACACAGTTTAGCAAACAGACACAGATGGTATAATTTAGGAAACAAACATAAAGTATTTTAAGGCCTTGCTAATGGTGTTTATTTATATGTTTTTTGTATGCTGTAAACTAGTCTAGGTACATTTGTGGTGAAAACTGTCACGTACAGTTCCTATTAGATGCTGATGTATACATTTACACTAGCTTTTATGAAAAATAAATACCAGTCCATTTTAGTGAGTGGAGAAGTAGCTCTTAATTGAGCACTGCTTGACTGTTGAACAAGGACTAGTTCCAGTGGCAGACATCTCTGATGGCAACTATGAGGTACTTAATAATGCACAGTTACCGATGGGAGTCTAGTTCATTCAGCTTGGCTGTCTGTGTGAAATAATCAGGATTCAAATTTTACATGTGTGACATCTTGCTTTGTTAGATCACTCAAATCTAAGATAAAGAACACTACGTTTCCTTTACTTTTGAATGGGTGCTAGTCAGTAACTTAGCCATTGTAAAAGAAACAGTGTGAGATGTAACGATACCTTTCAGCCCACCACTGGCTGGATTGGAAATTTTACCTGAAATCTAACCATATCAAAGTTAGTTAAGGACTGGATTAAATTCTGTGTTTATGAAGTGGCAGTCTGAAGATGTGGAAACAGAACCATTCTGATGCATGGGTTGTGGGAAAACTTTGGACAGCTTGAACAGTTTCTACTTTATGGTGGCTAGGCCTATTCTGTATGATGTTCCCTTTGGCAATACTTAAGTATCTTTGGAGTGCTTTAGAGGGCTAGGAATCTTTCCTTTAACCTCAAGATTAAGAACAGATTCTAGCTAAAATTAGTTAATCTAAGTCAGGTCAAACATCTCTTGGTGATACAAAGATCTACTGAACATTCCTCCCTGCCAAATGACAGGTAACACCAAAGGCAGAATCTAGATGGTAGCCACAAAATAGGAAAGGGGAGAGAGGGTGTGAGATTGCCTTCTGGATATGCCGATGGAGAAATTTCTTAGAGATCTATCTCTTTGCGTATGCTGACAGAGAATTGGGCAACTGGCTTTAACTGGTTTCTAATGATGAATTACAAAGCAGTTCTCCCTTGAGTGAGCATTCCTTGACTACAAGCATGTGTAAGAAAAAGTGGCTTAGATTTAACTGTGGGTGTTTCTTCTGTGTGCTGTTAGGTGGCATCTCTACATAATCATTTTGCTTTACATGAACTGGAAACTCTGCTGTGTAATTTAGTGGACACACCTGCCACAATGAACTCTTACTGCCAAACTCCTGAGCAAGCTGGACAGATTTTATGGCAGCATGATAGAAATTGTCCTTAAAGTCTTTTAAGGATTTTTAAATTTATGGAAGGAAGCAAATCTCCTCCCGATTTGTAGAGCTGATGGGGAAAGAAATGCTGCTTTATTCCATAATGATTTAGCTGAGGGACGAGCTAGGGTGGGATAGGTGAAACGCGTACTGTCTCTTTGAAAGTATGTGGGTCTATTGAAAAGATGGAAACAGAGAGTAGTATTAAGTGATGAGTGTGGGAGGTGGAGTTCTTTTCTCTTTGTTTCTTTTGAGAAGACTGGTATGTTCCTTCACATCAAGCTTGTAAAAGGTGAAGGTGCTGAAAACAGGACTGGAATTTCTTCCCCCTCCCTGTGTACACCGTTGCTAGAGAATGCAGTGCCACTCTTTGAATTTGATCTTGACATCTTCACTGGTACACCAGCTTCAATCACCCATATCTATATCTAGAGATATGTTGTTCATATTTACTGGATCCTAACATGAGCTGGAGCTATGACACACCATGCCATGTCACATGGTTTAAAGTGGTTATATCCACATTGCCCTTTGGCTTGAACTCAAACCCTAACCCTGAGCTCTTCTGCCTGTGCATGTCCTTCAACAGCATGGAGGGCAACACTGAGTCATGGGACTGGAGAAGACAGTGGAAATATGCTGGGCTTCCAGAGCTAGAGAGGCTCAGCTGTAGATTAGCTGTCCTTTGACCTCTGAGAACCAGAAAAAAAGCTGCTTCACAGTGGGGAAGACAAGAGATGCCAAGATCATGGAAGGATGGAGTTCAGGCTAAGGACAGAAAGCTTCCTGCAGTGTCCAAATTATTCTTCAGTGGATGAGGTCTAGCTGGCATTCTCAACTTGATGTTGGTGTTACCATCGACAATATGTATTATCATCTTACCTAATGCATTATATTTAGTCAAATCTACCAAATCAAATTCGGAAAGAAAAAAGTCCAACATAATCCTTCAGCAGATTCCTTTGCCAAGCCTTGATTTAAAACAATATGGCTTGAGGCAGGTGACTTCTGCATGCGCATTTTTCTCTCAGCGACTTATCCTTCTTTTGCTCCGCTTTGTAACTGCAGAAGCAGTGGTGTATTTGTGTCCTTTAAGGAACAGCTGAGAGACCTAAGCAAAGAGCACCTCTGTGCATATCCTTATGACTGAGATAGTGTTGAGATTAATCAGCTGTGGTTCTCCTTGGCATGGAAGACTTCATGGGCAAGTGCCTTGAAGCACCCATTTTGTCAGAGATTCTGAATTCTTTCAAGATCTCTACAAAATTGAGTAAGAAATTGCTTCCTTGACATAAACGTCTTCTCCTTATTTCGTCTAGCTGAGCCTCAGCTTAGGTGTTGAGTGAGAAAGGAGAAAACAAACTAGTCTCTCACTCTTCCCTGGTTAGCACAGATGGATTGTGTATTATCGCTGTCTCTCCATAGAGCATTTTGCTTTGCTTGGCTGGCTACAATGGAAGAAGTTCTATGAGCGTTTGAGTTAGGCTTGGATACTGCTCTCTAGTATCCAAAAAGCACTGTAAAAGTCTTTAAATCTCTTTGTGAAAGTGATGTATAGGTGCCGGTATTATCCTTTAATTTTGTCAGATAGGTGTTCCTATCTCTGAAGGAGATTCAGGGTTTCCTTCACAAACGTTATCAACTCCCCCTCGTGGTTAGTTTCTCCTAGCCTCTTTTGAAAGGCTTTCAAGTCGTTCCCTAGGTATATCCAGCTTCTAGCTCTGTACGTCGTTAGTGCTGTTGACCTGTAACCATTTCTACAGCATCTTTATAAATTGTCTCCTGATTGCGCGTAAACAAAACTTTCAACTGAAATGCAGGAGTATTTTGTATTTATTATTAATAATACAGAAATCCGTAGCAGCTGCAAAGGATTGTAGAAAATACTAACCAGCAGTAATCCATCATGAAAAAAAAAAAATTCTTTTGGGTAACAAGCGGCTGTCCTGGAGCCCAGAATGGTACTGCTGCAGCTTTGAGGGTTTACAGCTATTATTAGGCAGTGGTACAGCCCAGAGAATGCCAATATTGGACAACTGGAATGTCCAAGGTAAAAACGTATTTTAAACAAAACTTGCAGCAGACAATTTAACTGATCCACAGGAGCTTTTAAGGTATAGTGGGGTGCAGTCATAATTGTAATATCCTGAGGCCATTGGAGCTGCGCAAGCCAACTGAGATTGGATTGTGAGACTCTGTAAAACATCATTTAAAAGATGCAGGATAACAAATGTAGCATATTTTCTTTATCCCCTTATTCCTCAGTCTAGGGTGAGCATTCAGCACGATTGCCGTAGAGATGCAGTGAACCAGGAGTTCAGATAAGACTGTATTACTTACAAGGGTTTTTTTGCCCATCTCTATAAAAATTTACTAATAGTTGTGCTAAGAGTGTTTTTCAGGAATTCAACATAACTGCCTATCCTACTTCCTTATCACTCGACGATAGTTCGTACATTTTCAGTCTTCTTCAGCAGTAGACATATAGTAGGTTTATTCCAGGACTGTGAGATTTCTTTTTAAATTTATCTTGTTAAGAGCTTTTGACAAAGATAAAAACACCTTTTTATTTTTTCCACAGGATACTATGGTGATGGTCTGAATGCTATCATTGTGTTTGCAGCATGCTTCTTGCCAGACAGCAGTCGAACTGATTACAACTATGTCATGGAAAATCTTTTCCTGTGAGTGATATGTGAGCAAAGTGACAGAGTCTTTTGAGTTAGTGCTCATAATTATGTAGTGAGAGATAACCTGTCTTTGATTAAGAGGTAATTTTGGTCATTAGAAGGGGAGTGATCTGAGTGACAAGGAAAATAGCAGTTTTAGATAAACTGCTCAGTGGAGTATTATTTTGGTATTCTTTACCTACTCACCCTCCCAAATTAAGGAGTATTTGTTAGGACCAAATCTGACTGTAGTATCTCTCTAAATGTCAAGGAATGCAGTATCTTCAGCTTCTTGGGCCTACAATCATTGCAGTGTTTCACTAGTGATTTCCAGGCCTTGCTGAGAACAGTCAACGGGGACTTAGACCACCAGACTGGTTTTCAATGTTGATTATTATTATATTTTATCATGATGTATCACCGTATGTCATATTTTAGTATATGCTGTGGCTGTGTTTAGGAGTCACAGGACCATTTTGTGACACTTGTTTCAAGAATACAGGATAAATGACAGTTGCTGACACCAACAGCTCTAAGTATTTTTCCTGATTCCAGCTGCTTCTGATTCAGTTATAAGTGGCAGGGGCCAGTTGGGCAGGACACAGATTTGGCCACATAAGCCCAAATTTATCACAGGAAAATTACTCCTAATAGCAACTTGGTTTGGCAGCCAAAAATTGTGAAGGCAGCACTCCCCTGAAGTGCCTCCAGCTACTTCCACTTAACAGCTGTTACAAAATCAGTCATTCCAGCATTTTCTATGCTAAAACCCAGTAAGTAATTTCTAAAGCCTGACATTCACCATTTGCAGCTTACAAGGCACCAAGAGCACAGACCCAGTCTCCCTAAAACTCCAGTCCTTGAAGATGCATGTGGTGACAGCCAGTGCCTTCAACAGTGTGTCTATTTGTGAAAAACGAGATTGAGTGCTTTAGTTTCAGGTCAGAACAACTGCTAGCATTTGTCTGTAGAGCCTCTAAGACCCCCATCTCATCTACAGTAACTGATTTACACAATGCACAGTGATTTAGAGGGGAGGAATTACTACAGTGCTTTTAACTTGATAACTAGAGAACAAAACTGAGAGTAACCGTGACTGACATTAAGTGTTCTTTGACTTCACCCAAGACCCTTGCTCATAGATAGGGCTGGTGGTAAATGGAGGTCGCAGAGAAAGCCTTTTCAAGCCTTAAGAGACTTTTCCATATCACTTGAGGATATCACCAAAGTCAATTTTATAACTCACTGTCTTTTTCTAGGCTGGTAGTATAAGAGAGAGTTCAGGTTGGCTGTGAATCTTCAGCTTATTTTAAGACTTATAGACTGTTGGTTCTCTGTTGTAATACACCAAGAAAAGGGAAAGTTAAATCATAGAATCGTAGAATCATTTGGGCT